AACATATCAGATTTGATTTCTGTGAAAATATGCATTGAGTAAAATATGACAGCCATTTTGAAAACAAATTTGTGAAATCTGGGTTGTCTTAGACTTGCATACAGTCCCCATTTTGTCCTTTTTTTTCAATAAAATATAATATTAAGGGAGTTTACAAATAGTGTAAGCCAGGTTATCATCAAACAAACAAGAGACTTGTGTCCCTTATAGATGCCGGTGATGATTGTCTATGGGTCAGTGCATGATGCAATGATTGACAGGCTCATTAATGTTCCACCAAACAATGTCAAGGTCAAATTATAATAAATGAAGCGATAAAGAAGAGTCTGTATGCTAGTTTAGGGTCTGTGAAGGCTTGACTTAAAACAAACGCCACTATCTTCGTCTTTCTCAGAAAAAATGATAATGTTCCAGCTGATGAGATATCAGCTATTTGCCATGGTTATAAATGTTCTTGCACAATATCACAAACATGGCAGTTTATTTAGTTGTTGCCATGGCAATTACAATTGTTATCTGGTTACAAATCTCAGTGGTTGAGCTGGTAGTTTTCAACAAGATGAACAAGTAATTTTTGATGGACAGACCACAGATGAACAAATAGAAGACGAATCACCTACGATGATAGCAGCTAATGATGATATCATTTTGGGGTTATTTCAGAACACATTGTCATGAAGTGCCAATTTAATACAAATCTGTTAACATAAGCATAAAGCTAGTCCCAGAATCAGCCTCATATTCAAACCAAGCCTCAGTAAGTTTAGCAATTTATTAGTTTGTACAATTTTTATTGTAAAAAAACCACGATGATTTTCATAGTACATGGATGACTAAAAAAATGTTTTGCATTTTTATATGTAGATAGTTTTGGTTTCACACTTTTGAAACTGTACCACTGGTCGAACATACACACATAAAAAAAGCTGAAATTAACATAAAAAGTGCAAAAATGCATTTTTTTAAAGCTTTACTTACTTTTTTAGTTATTCATTATTATCTTTATTACATTTTAAACACCTAATTAGAAATGTAAATTTTTCTACACTGCTGTAATAAAGCTGTTATCTATTTATCTAATGTATAAGGCAATAATGTAAAGTATAATTTGGTTGTGAAAAGTGCTGCCAGAATCTTAATTTACAAAGCATTCTATGAATCAGAGTCGGGCTGTGGAGTTTATTATATGTGTCCTTATAATTTGCACTGGTCAAATATATTACAATTTGTCACCAGAGTTCAAACCTAAACACTGAGCATGTCAATTTGGTTACCAAGTGTCTACTCGAATACTAAGTGTGTTAAGAAAGTATTATACATCTGTCATCGTAACGGCATAAGTTACAGCATGCCATGATTTTGCGGTATTTTACGGGGTATTTTCATCCTACCATATTAGGATATGCGAATTCTAAATATGGAATTACGTGCGTAAGCATCCTCTAACAATAAAAACAAACATGGCTGCAACCAGGGTTTGACCGGCCTCCACACAAAGAAGTTCGCTGATTCTGTTCTAAACTTTTCTGATTTCAGCATTCCCATGATGTATCCTTGGAAGGAAAACATGTATAATAAGGTTATTACAAAGATACCTCAAAGTATGCACTCAGACAGTAGGTCGTCGCATCGGCCGATACTCCTGCTGTACTGTCTTCGTGCATACTTTGAGGTATCCTCGTAATAACCTCATATTATAATAAGGTGATCACATCAAAAAGCAATCAATGTGATTGTGTATAGGTACAAATTACTGATATTCTCATGATACATTTTTTCTGACATGCAGTCATTGTTTTGCGAGATAAAATAACATGCCAGTGAAATGCATTTACAAGATTCATGTCTGTGCCTTCACTTACATTCTATCACATACTACATTATTGCTGAATGTGAAAAAAATACATTTCATAAGTTTCTATCTTATACATAATTATAAATAATCATAATCCACCATCAAAATTAGATGTGGTCAATGATCAGTTTCATATCTAATCTGTGACATTACAATGTGACAGGACCTCTATGTGACACTGCCGTATGCATTTATGTGACATTAACATCCATCTATGTGACATTAACATCCATCTGTGTGATTAACATTCAGTTATGTAACATTAACATCCATCTATGTGACATTAACATCCAGTTATGTGACATCAGCTATGACATTCATTCTATCTAAGAAACTTGTATTTTTTAGGTTCATCGCTGTAACATATTTTTATTTCAGCCAGAATTCATTTTCACTGGAAAGACATTTTGTATGTTTTGTTTATTTTCACTGAATTTTGATGAATTGAATATAATATATAGGATCAAGGGAATTTTCACTGGATTTCAGTTTCACTGAATCATCCCTTCAGCGAAAATAACATGAATGAATTCTAAATGAAAATAAAGTACTTTGCAGTATATTTCATTATCATAGGTAGCATGTAACCAAACAATGTATTTTACATGTGTTAATATTGATTATGGCATGTCACGACCGTTCCTTTAAATTAGTTCAAATTTAGTCAATAACAGTACAATTGGCAATGACATTGAAACATTGTTTCAACGCTTCCTGACAGTTATTGATATCTTTCCATGGTGGACAAAATAAATCATCCATCAGTATAAGGTGGGTATTCAATGTTGATTGCGCTCCTTCAAATTTTCCATTTAAAACGTTATTCCACACATCTTTGTACAAAGTATTGGAAGTTGCAAATCTTGATAATCTTTGCATTATATCTTGAGTGCACTGGCACTTTGCACACGTCACTGATTTCATGTTTGGCACTGCAGGAAGCTTTAGTAACTTGTGACACTTTTCACATTTATATTTGGGAAGTAGATCTTCGATGTCTGGATATAATGGCCAGTCGTGGACACATGCATCACATTTACACTCAAAAAAGTACTGCCATTTCAGTCTTGTTTGACGTTCTGATTTGTCATGCACTGGATATAAGTAGCCGTAGTTATCGGTTATCTCCTCACCTTTGTATATATTTCTGATTGCGCGAACAACACATGTTTCACCATAACAGTTACGTGTCACAACAGGGTCACAGGAATGATTGACTAAACTCATTGTTGGGTAGAGTCCAGAACCGACTTCTACAAAGTGGCATTTGGTGATATCTGATCGCCAAAGCTCATATTCTGATATCTCATGTGCATTACAAGGTATGGTTTGTAGATGCGTGAGCATATGACCACCTATAAAAATAGCCACGTCTTCTTCATTATCAGCACCAACTGATTGGAAAAAATTCGTCTGCTGTAAACATCTAAGTAAACATACAGCTTTGACAACTCGTTTGAATAAATCACCGGGTTTTCTGTCTTCAGAATGCCCAACTAGATTGTAGACGCTGTAGTAATTGCTTTCATATTCTCCATCTACAGTACAACCATGGAACGACTCGTCAGGAATATTCACATTTGCAGACTGCTCCCTGAACTTAAGAAGAAAGGCGAGACCAGTACGAATAATAGTTCGTAGCGCAAGATGACCCATTCCCAGACCTAATTCTTGGATTAAGTCAAGATGATGGCATTCCAGATTGTGGTACATCTCCCATGATGCATTGCGACATTCTTTACTGCAGTAGACAATGCCAGCACATTGAAGACACGGAATAGAAGCAAGAACTCGGATATAACAATGATGACAGTGACTCACATTGCAGGGCTGTAAGCCTACTGAGGAGTAGGGATTTTCAACAATCAGAACATCACCAACTTTGACATCACGTGTGGCAACAGCATAGCGTCCCTTATCAGGACTGGATTCAATGGTAACAGCACTAGACATGCAAGGAACATGCAGATTTGATCCATAGCTGAGCTTTGGTGGTATTTTTAATTTCTTCTGTAAACCAACAGATTCAGTCGATTCCATCATTTTCTGGCACTTATCAAGTTGTTTATCAAGACAAACCTTGAAAGATTTTCTCTTTTTTCTATCAAGTTTACTTTTATCTACCCAAGACATGGCATCTTTAAAACATGCTATGGCATCAAATTTTCTTTTCAAGTTATAAAAACACTGCCCTCGGCGATCATAAAGTTTATACTTGAGGTCTTCGGGGTAACCATATTCAAATGCTCGATCAATGTCATCAAGACAATATTCAAATTTCCCCATATGTAGTAATACTGCTGCTCTATTACCAAATGCTAGAGAAAGTTCCTCACAGTTTGATTCCTCTTGAATAGGAGCAGTCATCACACTTTCTGTGTATAAGTACAAAGCTTTATCAAACTGTTTTTTCTGAAATGCAGTGTTGCCTTTACTACGTAGTTTCTTGGACTCTGCTGAAGTCTTTTTCTCATATTTTGGTTCAATTTTAATAACATCTTGTATGCAATCCAGACTCAACCCAAATTTAATTCTTTCTTCATTAGTCTGAAATTTTGCAAATTCTTCTGAAAGACCATGCACATCAGCATTCTCTTTCAGTTTGTCCGAAACTTTCTCAAATATCACATTAAACTCATCACTTGAGTTGTCTAAATTTCCTTTCTCCATTTTTTTCAGTCTTTTATTGTTTCACTCACTACAATGCACAGAATTCCATTGTATTTAATTGTTGTGGTCACTGCACTGAGTTATTGTTTCACTCACTACAATGCACAGAAATCCATTGTATTTAATTGTTGTGGTCACTGCACTGAGTTACATTGTTTTCCATTGTTTTTTTTACTACACAGCTACTGCAGATATTCATTCTGAAAAATATAATAAATAAATCATATTATTATACATCTGTCTTAGTGCCATAATTTTGAGGTATTTTACGAGGTATTTTCATCCTACCATATTAGGAAAAGTGAATTCCAAATATGAATGATTGCGCACGTAAGCGTCCTCTAATAATAATAACAAACATGGCTGCCACAAGGGTTTGACCGGGATCCACACAAAGACGTTCGCTGATTCTGTTCTAAACATTTTGGATTTGGCATTCCCATGATGTATCCTTGGTGGGAAAAGATGTATAATAATAAGGTTATTACGAGGATACCTCAAATTATGCACAAAAACAGTACAATGTCGCATCGACCTCTGCTGTGCGTCGGTCTATACTCCAATTGTACTGTCTTCATGCATACTTATGGTATCCTCGTAAGAATCTCATATTATTACGATTTCATAGTGTCGCTGTGAAAAAAATCTACTGCTATTATAAAACCATTATAAACTTGCCTAGACATGAATAAATCAATATAGGCAGACAGTGAAGCACTATTAAGAAATAGAAAATCTGGATTCGTATGATATGCATCTTTGAATAAAATGAAAATTTCCCAAGAAATAGTAATGCCTTCATAGGGATATTTGTTTATGGGTGGCCCATTGAAAAATAAAATTCTCTCCAGTCGCTTTCTGTTTCAGGCCGATTTCTTGCTATCCGCGAATTTTCACAAGCCCAAATACCTCTCTATATAGCGAGTTCTAACAACATTACAAAAGCTGAATGCCACTTTAAACCAGCCCAGTCATCTTTGAAAACTGCTTGTGAACATATTCAAATAATAGGATTTAGGGCTACATTTGATTGGACATGTATATGACATCATGCAATTCTTGCTAAAATGTATCAGTCTTGTCTTTCACGGTCAAGAATCCAAACAGTCCAAAATGAGAACTAAAAATTAGAAGGTCAATTGGCTTTGGTACACTATAACTTTGTTATAATGAATTGTTTATAAATTGAATTGTTGAATATATACAATTTTAATAGGTAGTTATAGTGAAGTGTTCAGTATAATGAATCACATAATACATCAAGTTTGTCATGAGTGGGAGACATGTTATGTGTTCATTATATCAGAATATTCATTATAAAAGTGTTCATTATAACAAGGTTACAGTGTACTTAGAAATGTATGAAATAATACAGCGTTAGCTTGATTATTATTTAATACATGACATACACATGTGTGAAAAGAAGTATTATGTTCATATAAAGTTTGAGTAAGACTAGCCAGGGCATGTAGGATATTTAGCTCTGGAACAGCATTTATTATATTAGCAATCTGATTTTGAATCTGAAAAACAAACATCAGAGCCCCATATTGTTTGTACCAACATTGAATGAAATCTGTCTATACATGGCCGTGATCCAGAAGAAAATTAAAATGGCGCCATTCAGCCATCTTGAATTGGATTGTCAAATGAATACATGTTCATATGTGTATGATGTATATGAACATGCTTGGTCAAAGCAGAGATGTGTCTCTGGAACAGCATTTGTTTGAACAAAATGGCCACCATTCAGCCATTTTACATCCAATTATAAAAAAACAAAATGACATGCATCAAGGACCTATAATGTCCAATTGTATATACCAAGTTAGAATGAAATTCATCTATACACGACCAAGACCTGGTTCCGGAATGGCAGAAATGCTTGATTTTGATGAGATTTCAGCACAAACATGGCCATCATACGGCCATATTGAATCATATTGAAAACCAATAAAAGTGTAAATATACTGTGACCATAATACCGGCTACTTTTATGTGAAGAAAATATTTTATCACATTTTTAACCAGTCTCCTATTTTATCCAGTCTCCTAACTTGTGTGAAAATTTACAAAAATAAACATTTTGTCATTTATCATTTATGCTAAAATGATTGTTTCAAACCATTAAACCAAGAAGTCAAAAATATCACTTTTTACTAAAAATGACAAAAATATTCACCAAAATTAGAGAATTGAAGATATCATTATGAAATGAACAAATCTAAGAGAGGTCTACCCAAGGTACATATACACCAAGTATCAAAGCAATAAGAATTGCAGTTTTCAAGAAGAAGTCGAAAAAGTAAAACATTGACACGGATGATGACAGATGATGCAATTGTTTTGAGGAGGGCGAAAAAAAAATAAAATTAATTCTTTTTTTCCCATTAGATTTGTGTGATTCTCAAAGAATTGTAAGTGAGATCCTTGATCGGAGAGAAGAAATTAAATAAAATTTTATTCCATGTATAACCTTATTTCTCATCTGCGCGAGACTTCGGTACTTTGATCATGATACTCCCATGAAAATGCAACTTGGATTTGTCATGCGGCGGGCGGTAAAAAAATGAAGATAAAAATAATATTTTTTTAGCATTTGTTTGCGCTTACAAGTCGGCGGGCACAAGAAATTACGCTGAAATAAAATTATATTTATTTCATTTTCGGCTCCTGTTCATTCGGCGGGTTCGCAAAACAAGGGATAATAAAAGTCAGGCCTAATAATAAATTGCATATGATGCTGGTTAAAAAATAATTGTTACCCCCCCCAACCCCCAAAAAAAAGCATTTGTTGCTCTGGAGTTGGAGTGGCCAACAAATCCCACCTTTCAAATATGCTAAAAAAAATGAACTAAACAAGACATGAATGTCACAGTCCCTGTTATTTAATTATAAAATAAATACATGGATCATCTGCAAACAATTGAATTAATATGTACCAACTCTACTTTCATTAACCCAGGTTCAAAATCTCAGAGTACACAAGTGCAACCAAATCTGAGTAAACCTTGATGTATCATTAATATCAACTTGACTTCTTTGTTAATTCAGTTCTTTGTATATGTTTATTTCATTATCACCACTATAATTCCCATCAAAATGTAGCCCTGACACCCCTCTACATTTTTCCACTGAGATTAGTAATAGTACGACTCATCAGTCACTGATTTAAATCAAGGTCATGACCAGGTCATGACATTACTAAAAGCCCTAGCATTACAATGCTCAGTTGCTCTGTCAGTGCAGTAGGGAGAGGTAATTTTGGATGAAAATCTTGAAAAAGACCCACTTAGGATTTTCAGATCTGGAAAAAAAATTATGTGCATATACTCGGCAGAGACTTGTTCATCAACCTGCCAAGTTTCATCGATATTTCAGAATTTCTGAGAAAATGTTGGAGATGTTTTAGAAAGTGCCCTTTTCGAACTGGAACTAAATAACATGTGAGTTATACAAAGCAC